CTCCTTCCCTGGTACACAGTCCCCCCTGCTCCCCTCCCACTGCCCCAAGTACATTACACTATGCAACCTTAATTGTGGACTCCTGTGATAACCATAAGACCCTATCATACATCGCTTTTAAATTATCCACTCCCTCATCTGTTTCAGTGCAGTATACACAATTTATCCAGATGATGATTGATATTGTTAATCTAGAAGACAAATATGTTGTGGTTGTTGTGTGCCGTTGAGTTGGAACTCACTCTACCTACATTATATTTTCAGAAGCAGTAAATCATATGGGAGGAGATTGCATATCCTTGTCCTGGAAGAAAATTATAGTGGTGTATGTACAAAGCACTGCTGATAAGACTGATTCCAAAACACATGCTTTATGGTTGGAGAAATACCGGTAAAATATAGAAAACAGTAAAATTTAACTTCATAGTTAATTATATGAATTATAATAGAGAGCTGTTTAAGGACTGTTGTTGTTGTTGCTTATTGCCATCATGTTGAGCACGACTCAGCAACCCTATGAAAAAAAAAGGCCTGAAGCCCTTCTATAATTTTTGTCATTTCTCTAAGTTCTTAGAGTTTCCAGAGGCATGTGATTTCTGAAGTGGATGTCATTCCTGCTTCCAAACCTGTCTTATACAGGGAGCTCCATCAAACGCTGTCCACCATGCGTAGCCAGTATGGCATTTGACCCCCCAATAGCACAACGTTCAGCATCACAGCAAACTCAGATTACTTCAGTGCAGCACATTGACAGAGGAGTGTTATACAACTTGGAAGAATGTTCCAATGTTCCAAAAGATAAAATAACACTAGACCCCTGGGCCCAACAACTTTTAAAAACAAGGGAGATAGAGATAGATGATAGATAGATAGATAGATAGATAGATAGATAGATAGATAGATAGATAGAATATAGAGACAGAGATATGTGAGAGACAGAGAGAGAGATGAGAGAGAGAGATGATATAGAGCTAGATATCAACAAAAGGCCTGAGGCCTTTCTATAACAAGTTTCTCCAAGTTCGTAGAGTTTCCAAAGGCATGTGATTTGGGGAGTGGATGTCACTTCTGCTTCCAAACTTAAATAAACCAAGGAGCTTCACCAAAAACTACCCACAGTAGGTAGCCATTATGGTGTTTGACACACCTGTGTCACAGTTTATCCATTATGGCATTTGAGACTCAAATGGCACAAGGTTCAGTGTCACAGCAAAACCAGATTACCTCATCACAGCAAATTTACTAAAGTGCTTTATGACTTAGAAGAATGTTCCTCCAAAATACAGTTGTTGTTGTTATTAAGTGTTGTCAAGTCGCAGGCGACTCATAGCGACCCTATGAAGGAGAGTCCTCGGCGCTTGAGTGCCTTTCATCTTCTATCCAGGTTCATAGGGTTTCCAGAGGCAAGCTATTATGGAAGTGGATGCCACTCCTCCTTCCACCAAAATACAATACCAAAATATAATCAAAATGTAACTTTTAAATATAAGGGCCCTCCAGGAGGTCTTTTTGACTGAGGCTTAAATAAAAACAATCCACACAGATCCTCAACCAAAACAAGAGCATCATCTTACAGAGTCCAGCCGTTTCATCCAATTCCAAAATGGAGACAAGAGCTTTGGTGTTATATGTTGTTGTTGTTGTTAAGTGCCATCTGGTACCAACTCTATAAACAAAAGAACTATTGTCTTTCCTCTAAATTCATAGAATTTCCAGACATGTTTAGAAGTGGATACCACTCCTGCTTTCAAGCCTATCTTAATCAGTGAGCTCTACCAAACATTGTCAACCATGTGTAACCATTATGACATTATGATTGAAAGATGATTCAAACCAGTCCCACCCAACTGAATTTTCAAAGACCCCAGGCCTACAAAATGGGCTCTCATTGGCTCCAACAAGAGATTTTCAGCCAACCAAACGTTCCAGAGTCAGTCCCCAGCTGACAGAGAGAAAAAAGAGAAGGGAGGTGGGGGGAACAAACTTACCTCGCCAAGGCCAAATGAATTTAAGGATAAAAGAGAAAATTAATTATAATGCAAATCAGATAATGATTATTTTTAAAGTGGATTAAAATATGTTAATTCATTCAATGAATTCAATATTGAAAATTATCACATGAAAATGTCAGTTACTTCCATGTTTTCCGTAAGAAAAACACTGCAAATCATGTAATGTGATATTTTTTAATTAACTTTTCTTTTTAATTTAAGTGGATGCTTACAGAACAATTGGTTTCCATTCAACAATTCATAGGCAATATGTTTCATGCCACTTATTACAAACCCTATATAATGTAATAGCACTTCATCCTTTTGTTTCTCATTTCTATTTGTATTCTACCATGAATGTTGGTGTATTCTTATATTCCACATTGAAGATTAAGAAAGCCATAAGACTTGGTTGTCTTGACTTTTCATTATATAGTCTAAACTTCTTCTTATCATACACACTGCTTGTTGTGCTTTTAAGAAAGTAAAAATGGTTTCCCACTCAACTATTCATATGAATTTTGCTTTATGAAATTATTAAAGTTCCCACATTTTCAAAGCATTCTTCCCACTTTCCCCCAATAATTTCTGTTTTCCTGTTTCCTTTTAACCTATTCTCTCTAGCCCTCTGAGCTCAGTGCTCTTTTGAACTTGTGAGATTATATATATGAATCTATACTGATTGGTATTAGAACCATCTATTTATGTTGATCTATACTGGAAAGAAGCTGTGCTGCAGTCCTGAAGGCACAGAGTTTGAATCCACCAGCTGCTCCATGGGAGAAGGATAGGCAGTCTTCTCCCATGTGATTAACTGCTTCTGAAAACACACTGGAGGGTCAGCTATGGATTGGTTCTGACCTGATGGAGAACAACATACTAGAACCTATAAAAAATAATTGCCAGAGGAGATGGTAATTGACATGTTATAGTTTCACATGTTTTCTTGGTTTGAGTTCTGTTAATAGTGTCACTCTTGACAGGTCACAGACGGAGGTCTACACCTAGTCAAACCAGCAGAGAGTCCAAGAATGGAAAAATTTGGCAGAACATAAGAAAAACTTGCTGCAAGATAGTAGAAAACAACTGGTTTAAGTGTTTTATTGGCCTAGTCACTCTGCTCAGCACAGGTGCTCTGGTAAGTAAGAAGCCCAGGTGTGTGATTCTTTCATGAGAGCATGTGCATCAAGGAGACTCGAGTGGCCTAGTGGCAAGAAGCTGCACTGCAATCCCAGAGGTATGTGGTTTGAATCCACCAGATTCTCTACTGGGGAAGGAGCAGCAGTCTCCTCCTCTACCAGTCAGATCCAATTTGACGGTACACAATGAAATAGTAAAATTTTTAAAAAAAAGAGCATGTGCATCATTGTGCTAATTGCTGTTCTCTAGAATATGTACTATAGTGCCAAATTTCATGTTCTGTTATTTTGGCTCTAGATGCTATAGGTGGCAGTGTCTTACAAAGTCTTTATGTGCATAATACACTGGTAACAAACTAATTTTAAAATATATGACTAGCAGTGAGATAAGAGCATATTTAGTGAATACATAGCACTTCTGATCTTAAACTTTAAAGAAGCCTCATATATAGAATAAAGTATTATATTATAGATACATAGGATAAGGATTTATTGCACTATACACTTTGGTGGCTATTCAAAAAGGAATAATCTTTAATGTAATTCTGGCATATCTACATTATTCCAAGCAGACTGTCAGATTTTAAAGCTTCTGGGAATTATCCTAGAATATTTTAAAACATTGGAACCTTCCAGGATATTAAATTTTGTGTCCCCAGAGAATATCTACAAATCAACGTATTTACCCATTACACAGTTTTATAGCCTATCCCAACGATCTACTCAGTGGTGGGCTGAATTATAACCCTCCACTTATGTCCATATCGTAATTTCTGTAAATGTAACTGTTACTTTATATGGCAAAACAGACTGCAGATGTAGTTACATGAAAGACCTCAAAATGGGTAGATTATCTTGGATTGTTCATGTTGGCCCTATATACATACTTACAATTTCTCTCATTAGGAAAGAGAAATAAAAACAGAGTAAGAAAAGAAGAGGTGATGTTAAGATGAAGTATAGATGTAGAGTAATATACTTTAAAGATGGAGGAAGATACTTCAAGCCAAGACATATGGACACCCACTGGAAGATGATAAAAGCAAACAAAAGATTCTTCCCTCAAAGTTTCCAAAAGTAACCAGTCCTTCGAACAACTTTACTTAACCCACTGAACTGACTTAACACATCTGACCTCTAAACTGTGAAATAATGTATTTCTTTGTTTTTAACCACTAAATATATAGAAAAGTATATTTCCCATCAGCAGGAAGGGGAAAGTAATGGAATCCCATTAGGTGCCTATGTGTCTGGCCTTTGCCTGTATTTCTTTCTAGAATTTATTAGTAGATCTTGAAGATCTCCTGGTCTGTAATCTTTCTCCTTTAGTGAACTCAGCACTTCAGCTAGTTTATAAAGATATTTAAATTTATTTGTGTATATTATAGCCAAGAGGAGAGGTGGTAAACCTTATAAAGGACAAGCACTGTCTTTTAAGATTCATTTACAGTATTTGCATTAGCCTTAAATGAGACTAAATTTAGTTTGATACTGTAGGGAAGTTATAGAACACAAATTGTACCAAGAGTTAGTCCTCCCTTGACAGAAGCAAGAAAAATGGTTATTTATATAAGTCATTAATCCATTAATTGAGATGTTCAGCTCTAGAAATTAGAACATTGCCTCTTGACCAAGGCTACTCTTGTCTGGCAGAAGAAAATTTCTAGAGAGGATCTCAGTTATCTGCTATCAGACAACATTCATAGGCAGTTGAATTAGTGGATTTGACACAAAGAGACTCGGAAGACAATATCAACATTTGCTACATGTCTCATATGCACCTGAGAAGTGTGTGAGATTTGGTGATATTGTGTATGATTACATCAAGCTTATAATTTCTGTGCTTGCTTTGGCAGCACATATACTAAAACTGGAATGACATAGAGATTAGCATGGTCTCTTGTGCAAGAATGACACACAAATTTGTGACGCCTTCCATATTTTTGAGGACATGGGGAGGGGGGAACAAATCAAACCAATTCAGTGTGAAAATTCTCAAGGGTGAAAGATGTGATTATTTAGTATTCAGAGAACCAAAGTGGTTCAACAGAGGCTGCTGCCATCGCTCCCTTTCTGTGGGTGCATTTAATCTGTGTTCATCCTGTGCATACTCTATTATTGTACTAACCCCTTCCCTCCGTGTTTCCAGCATTCCTTTGCTCTAAGTCTGCAGATCAATAAGGTGTTGATAGTGTGTTCTAGACCATTGGACCAACTAAGATGGATTCATAAGCATTATACTGTTTCAGATCATTTATCATGTTGAGGATTTTACTTGTTTATTTCTTAGAAGTGTTGATATAATGAGATAACTGTTAAAAATTTTCTTTAAAAGCAACAAAAAAAACCCCATAAACTTTCAAAACATAAAAAAGTTTGATTTCTGTTTTTCATTTCATAAATCTAGTCTGATTTTTCTTGTCTCTTTGTTTTACCATTATAGTGTGAAAAAGTATCCACCTACAAGTGTTCTTTTTTTTTAAACATGAAAGTTGGAAATTCTGTTGTTATTTTCGACATACTTCTACTTAAGGGTGTATATTTAAGAATCAGCATTCTTTACATAAAATAATGCTAAAATTTACTTATATTTTTCTTGGATGCATGTCAATGATGTTGACCCAAGGTTTTTATTGTCTTTCATGCACATATTATATGGATTTCAATGCCATTAGTACCCAAATCTAGACTATTAAAATATCATATCTCACAGGAAAATGAAAGCTGGTATATTAGAACTGTGACACTTTGGGAAAATTGTTACAATTCTATTCCATATTCACGTATATACATTGGTTTTCTTTGTAATTCCTACAGCAAAACTAACTCTGTGATTTGTTTTTCTTATAATAGTCATATGGATTTTTGATGATACTTTTTAATGTTAAATCTCAACTACTCTAAGCAGTCTGCATATGTATGTTAACTGACTTCCTCAAATTAAAGTTTGATTTCAAAGGTAGCTGAAGAAATCATCTCATGTTCACTTCAACTTTGAGAAGGACTTTTTTATCCTGTTTAGTACAATTATGATGCCACATTTATTACTCTTTATGCCAAAAGACGTTTAAGAGATTTCATACACACTAATAATATTTAATATTTCACTCTCAGGCTCTTGAAGATATATATATAAATCAGAGGAAAACTATTAAGATTTTATTAGAATATGCTGACATGATCTTCACTTACATCTTCATTCTGGAAATGCTGCTAAAGTGGATGGCATATGGATTTAAAGCTTATTTCACTAATGCCTGGTACAGACTGGACTTCATGGTTGTTATTGTATGTATTTTCTTAATTATAATATTTATTACTAATTTAATCCTTTTTTACTTTTATTATTTCATTTACTTTTGTTAACCTAAATCTACTTTGTCTTTTCTCTCTACATTTCTGGTGCCTAACATATCACACTTATTAATTTGTAATTTCTTCTTTTACCCTTTTCTTTCACTCTAAAGTTTTCAAAGTTCATCATTGTTATTTTTTAATTATGTTAATATTTACCTATAAGCTCAATGATAATAGAATGTGCTTGTAACACATAATCTTGAAAATATTCGCCTAAAATCTTGAAATTCTCTTTATTTTAGTTTGAAATAATAGACTACTCAATATAAACTTCACCACTACTACCTTGATCCAAACTACTGAAATTTCTAACTTGGTTACTACAATATATTATAAACAGCTGTGTCTTCTTCTGACTTCTGTGTCTTCTTCTAAACACTTTTATACTTTATTCTCCACATAGCAATCGATGATGATTGTAAAATAAATGTCAGCTCAAGTCACTTTTCTTCTTGCAATCCTCCGTTGTTGTTGTTGTTGTTATGTGCCATCAAGTCACCTGTGACGTATAGCGACCATATGTACCATAGCCCTAAACCCTGCTCTACCCTGTGCCAATCTCTGACACACCTGCCACCATTACCCTAGTCACTGAATCAACCCATCTCATTGAGGGTCTTCCTCTCTTGCACTGTCCCTCCACCCTTCCAAGCATGATGTCCCTCTCCAAAGACTGATCCTTCCTTGCAGCATGTCCAAACATGTTAGACAAAGTTTCAGAATCCTTTTCTCCAAGGAACAGCCTAGTCTCACCCTCTCTAGGTCTCTTTGTTCTCCTCGCAGTCCATGGTATATATTCAATACCCTTCTCCAGCAACTCAAAGGCATCAATTCTCCTATCATCCCTAGTCATAATACAAAAACTATGGCCTAAATCAGGCACACCTTAGTCTCCAGACTGACACTGTTGTTCTTTTGTACTTTGGAGAGGTCCCTGATAGCAGACTCCATTAATCACCCCATAATCCAACATCTCTGAGTGGTGCAAGATTTAAGACATTCAGTTGTGCACCTAAACGTTAGAGTTCACTCAGTTTTCTCAGAGAAAAAAGTCCTGGAAAATGCTTTCAAAATATCCATCATTAAAAGTCCCATGAAACACATAATGTCACCATGAGTCAGAATCAGCCTTACAGCAACTGTCATCTTTTGGAGTTTTGTCTACTGTTTTGGTAAATCCTAATAAAAACCAAAGTCTTTGCAATCAAAGGCCTACAAATCTCCACTTAATACAGTCTTCTCCCCTGCTACCATCCCCTCTCCCTTTCCTGTCTGTACACTGCATCACCAGAAATGCTAGGATTACATCTGTCTGCACTTTCTCAAGGCTCCACCTGGAAGCTTTGCTAACTCACTTTTTAATGACTATTTTAATGAAACCTTTGATTCCTGTTCTTACCTTATTGCTCCTTCTCTGTTTGATTTCTCTCAGTAACACTCAACAATATTACATTATTTGTCCATGTCTTTTGTTGATAAACTCTATCAGAACAGAAATTTCACTCAAGATAGTTCCTTCCTTCCCCCCAATTCCTAGAAAACTTACTCTCACATCAAAAACTCATTGTCTTAGGGTAGAAACTGACTTAGCTGACCCTACATTGGGCTTCCAAAGTTGTAGAGTGCCCAGGAGATTGCTCATCTTTCTCCTGTGGAGTCTCTAGTGGATTCCAATCACCTTTGGATTAGCAAAGCAACTCCCTATGGATTACACTATCAGTTACTTTAAAGAATATACAAGAAATATAAAATATGAAAATTTTCTTTATCTCGGAAGGATATATTCCTGATCACCAGAAAAATATTTTTATTTTCATTTTAACTGAGAAATGTTTTCTTACCACTTTCTAAACTATTATTTAGATATTTTAAAACTATATGTTAAAATAATTTGCAGATGTCTTTGTCTGCTTTACTTAATTTATCTTTTTATGGCAAATGCAACTTGAATTTTAGACATTATTTTGATAAAAATTAATGTTAAATTATATGTGCTCTTTTTCTATTTTTTTAGGTCTTTTGTCTTAGTTTAATAGGCAAATCTCAAGATAGCCTTAAAGCACTTACATCTATAAAATTCCTTCGGCCGCTCAGAGTCCTATCCCAATTTGAAAGAATGAAGGTAAGAGAAAAAAATCACTGAATAAACTTTATATATTTATTTGTATAATGATTATCTACATGTACACCTTAAAAATAAAAACACAACCAAAACTTTATATTCTACTATTTAAAAATAAAAAATAGATGGGTGTGTTGTTGCTAGGTACCATCAAGTCAACTCTGACTCAGAGCAAACACTTTGTATAACAGAAAGAAACCTGTCCAATCCTGGACCACCCTCACAATCTCTGCTGTGCTAGACCAGTTGTTGCAGTTACTTTGTATTTTAATTCTTAATTATTCATAACATATGCAAACAAATAAAAATAAATAAGATAATTAACAATTGAGAGACAAAATATTGTTTGAAGAACTGTCCCTCTGGAGCTCTGGTGGCCTAGTGGCAAGAAACTGCACTGCAATCTCAGATGTATGTGGTTCTAATCCACCAGATGTTCTGCTGGAAAAGGAGGGACAACCTCCTCCTGTACCAGTCAGATCCGATTTGATGGTACACACACACAAAAAATAATACAATGAAAAACTATACTTCTAATGCACACGGATAAAGCTATTTTGGAATGGAAACAAGTTTGTTTTTTTTAATCAGTTGGCCAGGTCTGCACTTATTCTATCAAGTCCGAGAACCTTACTTGTTGTCTTACTTCAGATGTGCTCAAGGCATATTTGTTCCAATTTTTTTTAAAAAAAGAAAAATATGATGAAGAGATTATCAAACAAGGTTATTAACTAATACAACATGCAAGTAAAGTCTTGTTAAAGATTATTAAAACCTTACTGTAACAATAAATCAACAGAGGACTACTAGAAATTCAAGCCCCAAGAAGATCATGAAGGATAATATCATAAGTGATATCAGATGGATCTTGGCTGAAAAAAAGAAAATACTAAAAAGATGTTTGCTTGTATTTTATTAACTATGCAAAGACATTTGATTGTAGATCATAAAAAATTAAGGATAATTTTGACAACAATGGATATCCCAAAATACTTAATTGTGCTCACATAGATCCTATACAGAATCAGTTGCCTGAACAGAACAAGAAAATACTGCATGATTTAAAATAAAGAAGGATGTGCATCAGGATTATATCCTTTCTCCATTGCTGTTCATCCATATATTGAGCAAATCGTGTAAAAAGCTAGACTACATGAATAAGTTGTGGTATCAGGATTAGAGGTAGATTAATAAACCACCTATGACACAATCTTGTCAGAAAGCGAAGAACGACTTGACACACTGCTACAGTAGACCAAAGACTACAGCCTTCAGTATAAATTATAACAACAGCAAGGGGGAAAATATTCCTCACAACAGGCAATATCATAATAGATGGATGAAAGATTGAAGCTGTCAGTGATTTAATTCTACTTGAGTTCACAATACCCATGATACTAGTAATTAAGAAATGAAAATGCATGGTGCATTGGTCACATCTGCTGTCCAAGACCTTTCCAAAGTGCCAGATAACAAAGATATCAGTTGAAAAACTAAGTCATGCCTGATCCAAGACACAATATTTTCACTTGCTTCACTTGGGCAATGACTGTGGATGACTAAAGAAGAATCAATGCCTTTGAATTGTGAAGTTGGTTAAGATTACTGAATATTTCATAGCCTGCCAAAATACAAACAAATCTGTTTTGGAAAAAGTTCAGCCAGAATGTTCCTTAAGGTCAGGGATGATGAAACTTTGTCTTATATACTTTAAGCATGTTACCAGGAGGGGCTAGTCCTTGGTAAAACATATCATGATGGGAAATGTGGAGGGGCAGAGAAATAGAAGAGGATCCTCAATAAGATGGTTTGATACAGTGACTGTAATAATAGACTTGAACTTGGTAGAGACCATGAATATCACACATGACACATGAAAGAGATCCTGACTATAGACAAGGTTCAGATCTGTTGTACATAGAGTCCCTATAAGTCATGGTCACCTTGAAAGTATATAACAACTACAGTTCACATGCATAAGAGTGAGTATTAATAAAATTGTGTCCATTTTTAAAATGCAGTGATTAGAAAATGAAATTTTCATCAAATAGCTCTTTGTAATTATAAGAATATTATTAACACTCTTTATTGAGTAAAAACTTATCTACACATTTGGATTTTAAAATTTTGTTTTTAAAAAAAATTTGTGTCACAACTATGAATTTTTACCAGCTTCTCACCATCATCCATCATCCCAACCTAAAGCTTTCCCTGAACAGTCTGAAGGATACTCATAAATTGAGCCATATAAAATGGCCAATGTTCAATATTTTAGTCTATAATATAAATTTCATTACCTGATAGAAAATTGTCTACTTAATATGAAAACTGTGATCACAAGTAATGTATGTATATAGATATATAATGCTTAATTATATAAAGAAATGAGAGGATGTATAATTACATTCATTCTTGGATGACTGACTCTCATTTTATATACTGTAGATAACCTCACACATACACACAAGTTTAATTACAAGTTTATTTGCCCATTCCTGCATAGTAAATAAAGTGAATGTTTTCAATCAATGAAACACTTATTTGTAGTGTCTGAACTAATAAACTGTTACTATTAATAATTTTTATAGTATAAATATTTCATTTATCCACATTATACAATATACATCTTTCATCTAAACTGAATTTTTTTATGATACAAATATTAGAATGTGAGTTATTAAGTGTCTATTCTTGGTGGTGTTGTTGTTGTGCATTGTTGTCAAGTCAGACTGACTCATAGCTAACTCTCCAGCAGGCTTTCAGAGGTTTTAAACTACATGGGAGGAGATTACTCATCTTTCTTCCCCAGGCAGTTGGCGTATCTGAACTAAGTGCCTTTGCATTGACAGTGCAACTTCTTACTCACTAGGCCACCAAATCTCCATACTAGAGATGGACACTTCATGCTGCTTCAATATATTACATCAACTACTACTTTCAGTCTGATTCCATGTTAAAATATTTTCTTTTAACTAAAAGTAATTTTTTGTGTGTCCACTTTTTACATGGCAGGTGGTTTTAAGAGCTTTAATAAAAACAACTTTACCCGCGGTGAATGTGTTTCTGGTGTGCCTTATGATCTGGCTAGTTTTTAGCATCATGGGAGTACAATTGTTTGCTGGCCGGTTCTATGAATGCATTGACCCAGCAAATGGAGAAAGGTTTCCTATATCTGAAATTACAAACCAGAGTCAGTGTGAAAGTCTTGTGCTTAATGAATCCATGCCATGGAAGAATGCAGAACTGAACTTCGACAATGTTGGAAATGGATTCCTTTCACTACTTCAAGTAGTAAGTAATCTGTTAATGTCTTTTATTCTGCTATATGTTCACCTAAATTGCTATATGACAGTAGAGACAAAATGAGGACGCCTGACACATATAGTAAAAAATATTTTGTAAAATATTAATTAGTGAGTTAATAATTATTTTTAATAATTATTATTACTAACAATTAATAGTAACTATGATGGGGAACACTGTGTAGGTTTATTTGCGGGGAAAAATGAAAAGACAGTTCCTGCGCTTACAGGGAATAGGGTCAGCTACTGGCAAAACCGATGTTCTCTACACTGATCATAGAAAAGGGTCACAGTTCTTTAGTCTGACTCAGATTACTATAGGTTTTTGGTTTGTTTTCATGCTTGCTTATCTGTCCAATTGCTTTGAGAAATGGCCCCTCAGTGACTCAACATCCAGCAGAGATGAATGTTACCTCTAACAGAAAAATATATATGTAGAAATTACAAGTAACTGTGATACTTTAGCATTATGTATTGATTTGTTTTGCTTTATGTCTATCGTCATTATCATAAAATACTTGACACTATTAGCCACAGTCAGCTAAATAGCTTAATATTGTAAATGTTGTTAAAAAAAGAAGAAGAAGAAGGGCCCCCATGTGAGGAGAGTCATATCTGATCTTTACCAATTTCCCGGGGGGGGGGGGAACTATTGCCCACGGCAAAAATAACACAAAACCAATTCCTATGAGATCAGATATGACACTTACTCTCCCATGCTTCTTCATACTTAATTCAACACCAATTCTTACTGCTTAGCTGGGTCCATAATCTGAAGTGATAGCTCACAGACCACACAAAACTATACATTGAGGGAGTTAAAAGGTTATAATTTCAATTAAGAACAAAATTCAAACAGCTCCCAAAATGTGCATGTAGGCATCTCAGCCTCAAGTCTCATGGCTCTAAGTGTCCCCAGGTTCCCAGTCCTGCCTAATATTGGCTTTAGGCCATCTCAAAGTCCCATCTTATACCCAATTTTCCAGTTCAGCCATTACTACTGCTACCATCCAGAAACATCCTACATACATTTCACTAGGTTGCGGGAAGTCTTTCTTGTTCCCCCTAGTGGGAGAATTCCTCTTCTCTGCAGCTAAAGCTGTTCAGTTTACTGATGAGACTAGCCAATTTTCTTGTTTGCAGAGACTAGCCAATCCCCTTGTGGAATGATAAATAGTCAATCCCTTTGTGGATAGGCCAACAGGCTTCACTCGCACAGTCACACACCTCCCCCCAAATAGTCATCTACAGTAGAAAGGCCATTTTGAGAGACAGACTCCACAGTCCACCCTCTGGCTTTTCTAGCCGGTAACAGTCACATATGAAAGATTAACTTTCTTCTTACAATATAGAATAGCTATATTCAACAACTTCATTCCACATGTTTTACTTAATCTTTCCCATTTTAGCTAGCCACATTTTTATTTGCCGATCCCTATCATACCAGTACTCTGAGGAAACAAGCACATTCCTTTCTCTAAAGAATTGTCTGTTCTATTTAAACTTTTAGCATTGCTTCCATAAACAAAGTCTACTCAAGAGCAAACCATCACATTGAAGTCATCAACAGTAGATCACAGCATGGAAAATCTTATTATGTTCTGGTCAACTCATCTCAAGCTATTCAGGGCAAGGTCACCTGCAAACTTAGGAGTTCACACTCTTCCTATGTTCCAGACAGATTTGTTCGTTCAGTCAGTCTTAGCTCCCACATGGGTCCAACAAAGCAAGATGAGGGTCCTTTTAACTCCCAGCGTCTCAGAGTCAGCAACCCTCACTCACGCAGTCCCGCCCCTCCACATTGTCATTTACTGTAGGAAAGCCATATTGAGAGCCATATTTTACACAATTGTCATAAAAAGATTATATAAATATAATAGTAAAAAGGTTCAAGGTATCTTAATTTACTCTGTATATTAAAATATGACAAGTCTTATCAGTTAAAATTTTACATGCTATTAATAATGTCTTGATGATTGTAGGAAATGTAATGTCAATGAAGGAAAGTGTGAAACACAAACATAAAAAACATTATGTAGATGAATGAAAATACAATGTATATGAATAATTATATGCATATCAATAAAAAAACCACAATGCATAGGAATAATTATGTGAAGCATAACATCCTTGGAGAAAAGTTTAGGTACTTAAATGAAACACAATATGAATAATTATATGCATACCACTAAGTTTCCTATATTAAATTAACATTTTTCATTTGTACAGGCAACATTTAATGGATGGATCAGTATTATGAATTCAGCAACTGATTCTACTTCTGTAAGTAAAATATAGTCCTAGAGACATTATTAAGGGTCTTACAAATATTTCTTGTAGTCCAAGCAATAATTAAATAATTAATGTAGTAAAATTAAAATCTCATGCTAACTAGAAATTAAATACATTTCAAATTATTTGAGCATTCAAATATATTTCAAATATTTGAGTGTTTAAATAAAACTTTTTTTGGATTATATGCAATGATTGTAGGCCTTACTTTTCATTTGAAGGGTTGTCATAATTTTTAAGAATGATTAAAGATATATATATAATGACCTTTAAATTCTTAGTAACTAAATCAATGATACCCTCTCCTCAAAGATAATATACTACTTCCAGTAGCATTGCTGGACTTTGTTGTCATGAATAACCTTATAAACTCATGTTTTAAAAGTCAATATTAATGCCTTGCTTGTTCTTTTGATTAACTTTTAGATAACTCTGCAACCTAATTTTGAAAACAACATCTATATGTATTGGTACTTCATCATCTTTATTTTCTTTGGAGTATTTCTCCCTATGAGTATGCTGATTGGCACTATTGTTGCTAACTTCAACAAACATAAAATAAAGATAAGTATAAATTTTACATGCTTACCCAAAGTCTGGTAAAAATCAAACATATATATAAAAACACCCTGCACAAACAGTCGATTTGTTTGGAGTTCACCTTAATGTCACTCTTTTTACCTGTTACGTAAAAAGTATAATGGTTGAGTATATTGCCCTGTTCAGTGGTGAACATTCCTAAAATATTCTATTCTCAAAATGTACATAAACAATGTGTGCATAGTTTTCATTTGTATCTGGTAGCAGTATCTGTGTTTTTCATTCAGATCTTGCTATCCACACAAATAAACTGCAGCCAAAAAATTATCTTAAGGACAATAGTGCTGATCTAATGTTGTCTCTTTGGACACATTTACCACTGGCCAGCCTCAAAATTCCACCCAAAAACTTGCAAACAGAGGTATAACTTGACGAAATTATTATAAGAAATCTAGAATAATTTACTGAATCTTTTCTCTTTTTATTTCTATAAATAAAAAAAGAAAAACTACTAATTAATAGACCAGTAAATATTAATTTTTACTTTTTATTGAACATGTGTGTTTTGTATAAACTACTGAAATTAGCATTAAAATTGTAAATGTGTGTGAGCCCTAGAAAGTGTTATGAAGAAGCATTAGGTATACTTTTGGCATACTAGTAAAAAGTATTTCATCATAGCATTCATTAAATTAAACAACATAAGATCCGTTGACATCCAGTGAAACTCATAACAACCTTATTATGAACCCTATGGGGCTCCCAAGGTTGTAATCTTTATAGAAGTAGATAGTCTGTGTCTTTTCTACTACTGAGAGGCCAATCGGTTTGAACCACTAACCTTTCAATTAACTGTCAAGCAGTTAGGCACCAAGGTTCTTTAAAGCAACATAAGAACATAATGAAAATAAATATAGGTGAGTTAGGGGGGATTTTCCCCTCTGTTCATTAAAACAAGTAAACCAACCAACATTTTGGTTGAGTTATTGATACTTTTTTCATCATAAAATTTTCCAGATACAACCAACAGGCTTTTTTCCTTGTTTTCTCTCTAGTAAGATTGAGTAAATTCAGTAGTTTGAAAGAGATAAATAGGGATTACTACCCATAAGAAAGTCTACTAAGATATTATTGAATTTGAAAAATTACCATTATAGATATAATCTGTACATTAAGTAAATTTTTGTACAGAAAGTCAGATGTTTCACATCATTATTTATTTCATTGAAATGAAGAATTTGCAGAATAAGAGATACATTGCAAAGAGGATTGGAAGAGGGAAGGAGAAGCAGGCAATTAAGAAATAATGAATTAATATTTAAAAAAGAGAACTGGGGAAGGAGAAGGTAGAGAGAGGAGGTAAGATATGCAACAATGAATGAATGAAAATCTAACTTTTCTGTAAACCTTTGTTAAAATTATAATTAAAATTTAAAAAATGTATAAGAAAATAAAAAAGAGGAAGGATTTCTTTTACAAATTAAGTCAATAACTTCCAAGGCTTCTACAATATATATGAATGTAAGGAGAGATTCTTGGTAAATGTTATTTTAATATTTTTCCATTATTTCTTTACCAGGGAGGTTCAAATATCTTTATAACGGCAAAACAGAAGAAACAGTGCCGTGGTCTGAAAAAGCTGATGTTGGAAGACTCTGAAAGACCAATTCCTCGCCCAAAAGTGAGAAAAACCCATGAGTTTTTGACATTTAGACTATAGAAGATATAAATTGTTTCATTTATTTCATTAAATGGAAATATATTTTTGAAAATGCTTTGGCTAAATCTTAAAAGCATGTTGACAAAATCTTTAGTGGTGGTTCTTTTTTGAATACCAAAGTTTTTATAGTTTGTTATAAATTTAGCTCCTTATTCTGTTTACAGAAACAGTAAAGAAAACAATAGGTAGAACGAGAGAGAGAGTGTATGTGTGTGTGTGTGTGTGTGTGTGTGTGTGTGTGTGTGTGTATACTGTTACTGAGATACTGTATTTTTTTTTGTCCTTCACAGAACAAATTCCAAGGATTCATCTTTGACTTAGTGACAAATCAGAAATTTGAGATCATCATCATGGTTCTTATCTTTGCCTATGCACTAGCCCTTATGATGGAAAGTGATGATGAGAGTCCACAAATGGAAATTGCCTTGTACTGGATTAACACAATTTTTGTCTTGCTTTACACTGGAGAATGTTTACTGAAACTCATCGCTTTCCGTTGTTATTATTTCACCATGGGATGGAATATTTTTGATTTTATGGTAGTCATTTTCTCCATTATAGGTAAGATTGTGTTAAGTCCTATTTTCACTAATAGTAATATCATATCAGAAAAGGGGATTTTTAAAAAAATAAATATCCTTTGAGGCATAGTCTATAGGCAAGTGAAAGAGGTGGTTGTTAGCTGCTGTGATGTTAATTCCAATAAAGCAAAATTTTGTCCAGCCATGCGTTATCTTCACAACTGCCAGCATGTTCTAGTTCATCATTGTGGCAATTGTGCCAATCCATTTGAGGGTATATTTCACCTTTGTTAGTTGTATTGACTGGACAGTATTCTCCTCTAGTGATGATCTCTTCTGATATTATGTCCAGAGTAAGAGATTAGGGCGATTTTTTGATGTGGTCTATACCATTTTTCTTTGTTAATATTTGGAATAAGGTTATCAGACTTTTGTTCCTACTTTGTCTTACTCTGATTGTTCTGCTTACGCCTGTTCACCATGCATGATCCTGTTGATATACTAGTGGTATTGTTTCCACCTATCAAAGGGTAAGAAACTGAATGTTTGTGGAAAAGAAGTACACTCTTTTAATTTCTAACCTGAATGCTATAATTTTTAGCATTCATAACTGCACAAATACCTTATACAAAACTACTTCTAGAATTTGTATCATAGGTATCCTTTAACAGAACATCAGACTCATGCTTAATTACCACTTTGATGTGTATTATTGCTATTGTTATAATCAGTTAAGTTGTAATCAACTCATATCTGACCCTCCAGTAGGTTTACAGAGGCAGTACATTTCATGGGGTGAGATCACACATCCTTCTCCCATGGAGCAGTTGCTAGATTGGAACTGCATACCTTTGGATTAGCAACACAATTCCTTACCTCCACAGGGCCACCAGATGTATATCATGCATTCATTTTCTAGAATGACACTTTAAGGATGTTTATGCCTCAATAAGGCATATTATTTCAAACTTCCTTCTCTCTAGCCAGAAAACTCAACTTTTATTTTTTGATGAATTTGTTACAAAGTTCCCATCACTATGGAGATATCACTATTTTATTATATAAGAATCTATATTTATTTTCCTCTTTGTGTATAGATAACTGTGCAATGTGCAGCAAATTCAGTAGTAAAGAATATTGGTATAAACTCTGTGTTAGCATAGTTTATAGCCTATTAAAGTATGTAGATAATTAATCTCTACATCTTAATTGTATATTATTAAGGTTATGATAAGAAAGGCACATGGTGTGGAACAGCAAAACAGAATGGAGTTATGCCTAATCAGTATGTGGGAGGCACAGGAAATTTCCAAGAAGATGTAAAGTCCAAATAGAGATATACTAGATAAGGATACAACCAGAAATAGAATTGTGCATAATAACAAAAAAAAACCCCAGAGCCATGTGGGAAGCACCATATGTGACCTTTACCAACTTCACAGGGGGAACTGTCCCTGTCAACAGCCTCAGTAACACAAAACCAGTTCCATGAGGTCAGACATGTTCCCCATGCTCCTGTGCCTCTTTCTATTCATCTCAATAGCAATCTTACTACTTTGCTGGGTCCAAAACCTGACGTAATAGTTCACAGACTACACAGAACCAGAGAATACGATCAAGAATGCTCCAGAAATGGGCACTCAAGCACCTCAGCCTTGAGCCTCATGGCTCTAAATGTTCCCGAGTTCTCAGTCCTGCCAATATTTGCCTATCACCCCAATTGTCCAACATAGTTCTCAGTCCTTACAATATTTGCTTCCCTCTACCCTCAATGTTCCATCATATGTCAATCCTCCTGTTCAGCGACTGCTGTTGCTGCCATCCCAAAGTGTGTTGTACATTTTCCCGACTCTTCACCAGAGTGAGGAAGGTATCTTTCATCTTCTCTGACTGGGGAGGATTCTATCTCTGCAGCTAGGGCTGTTTGATTTATTGGCAAGACTAGCCAGTCTTCGTATAGATTGTTGATATTGGCCAATCCTTTTGTGGAATGGTAGATAGCCAATATCTTTTTGTCCAAGCCAATACATACCATTCACATATTACTTCCCACCCACATGATCAGTCATCCACATTCAAATAATCCTAGAAAAGCCATATTGAAAGGCAAACTCTGCTATAACAGTGTTTCAAGCAGAAAAACGTTTGTGTAATATCTGTGTTCCCATATTATGCTTATTAGAATATAAGCTCTATGAGATTAGGCACAATTTTTGAATTTTTATTATCTGTCAAGCATTATCCTAATTATTTATTAGTGAATAATACATCAACTATCTGCAGAAGCCGTGCATCAAACATATTTGTTGAGTCTTCAATTAATTACAGATAGAAAAATATTTTTTAAAAAAACTTGATAGACACACAAAAGGGAGAAAACAGAGAAATTTTGACATCAAAAAGGCCAGCAATATAAGGAACAAGAACTACATGGGGAAGACCAAATCTGACCGCTATTAACTCTACACAGTGTAACTCACATAAACAGTAACATTCACAGTGTCAAACAAAGGGATAAGAGGTCAGTCATGACTCCCCCCATGCTTTGCACATAATTCTACTAACCACTGGGTCCAATGTTCATTGCAAATTGACTCAGACTTGACTTTACTCATAGTTGTGGCTATTAGATAAATAGGTTGGGAGGTAGGGATAATATTCAGTCAAAGTACCGGTTTAGTGAACAATAAGATTAACAGAAACATACAATTCTTTAATTATTTCAGACAACTTTTCAGTCAAGTGAAAGTTCAGTTTAAAAGCACAAATGCAAGAAGTCTGTGTTTCCCCAGTCATCCAGCAAGCTGTCTCATAGCAGTCACAAATCAGCTCTTCCATCAGTTGTCCAGCAAGCAAAACCTTTAATTCTGGCTCCATCTCCAGGGCTCCATTATATTTTGCCTTGGCAACGTCTCTCCACAATCTGGTCAGCTCTTCTTCTTATGATAGCCACACAGCTGTTGATCATGTAGAAGACTTTGATTAATGCACCACATCAGGTCATAGTTAAGCACTCAGATGCTGTTCTAATTGTCTGTACTTCAAACTCATCCAGCGTCTAGATGGTAGAGAAACCAGACAATTTAATTCTGTGAAGATTACAGTTTAGTATATCTTAAGGGAAAGTTATACTCTGTCATGTGGATTTGCTATCTACTCAACAGATGTTGAGCTATCCATTCAACAAATATGTCTTGGAAAAAGTGTAACTAGAGAGCTCCTTGGAGGCAATGATGGCAAAACTTCAACTCACATACCTTGGGCATGTCACTAGGAGAGCCTATTTCTTGGAAAGGGACTTCATGCTTGAAAAGATAGAAGGGTCAGCAAAAGAGACGTCCCTCAGCAAGATGCATTGGCATGGTCTGCAGCAATGAGCTCAAGTATGTCAGAGATGATAATGCATAGGGTGGGTCAGGGTTCAGATCTGTTATTGATAGGGTCACTATGAGTTAAACTCAACTCAATGGTACCTAACAAGAAGAGCCTGTAGGGAGCTCCAGCGGCCTAGTGGTAAGGAATTAACTGTCAACTGAAAGGCATGCAGTTAGAATCTGCCAGATGCTCCGCAGGTGAAAGATGGGCAATCATTTTCCATGGGACTTACTGCATCTGAAAACCCACTGAAGGTCAGCTATACATCAGTCTCAACTGAACAATGTACAGCAACAACAAAAGCATCTAACAACAAGATGAGATTAATTGGAACAGATCTAGAGGAAAAGGAAATTGTGCTGATTAAAGAGCTGATAAAGAGCTGATTAAATTTTAGTTCTGCAAGATCAGGTGTCCTAGATGTTGATTGGAACCCTAGATGTGAGTAACTAAAGTTAAATGATGAAAAAAAAAATTGTAGAGTTGAGAAAGCCAGAAACTTGGAACAAGTTATTGATTACAGATACCAATAAGAAAGATAGAAAGTGTCTATCGTCAAGTTCAAAAGAATCAATGAATTTAAATGAGAGGGGAAAATGGGCTATTTAATGGTAGGAGATAGTGTAGGTGAACAATATTATCTACAAAATATAGGAAAATTAAAACAGATGGATAAAGAAGTGATCTGTAGATCACACTGAGAAGATACATATTCCTTCTTTATAACTTGAGCAACATGGAAAGCAAAATAATGAGTATCTACATTTGAGAAAATCACAATGACTTGTATTCACAAAATAGAGTCAGATTTCAAATTTAACAGGCTGTTGATGAATTAGTAACCAGAATGCTTAAAAAAATTATTTATAATGAAATGAGGACATCTCTTGCCTAATAGAAGAGTTTAGAGGATCAAAGAACGACAACAACTTGAGTCAGAGTAGAAGCTTTACAAGAACCTTAAGGAGATAAGGGTGTAGACATGTAGAATAGCAGAGAGATTGCCATGATAGGTGATAACCAAGTTTAACAGAAATGTGAGGCACAATCCTTCCAGCTTCAGCAAACATAGCATCCTGGAAGTGCTAACAGTTTCTACCTTCCTTATATTCTCATTCAAAAAAGGATCCCCATTTTCTGGTGCTTCCAAAGAACATCTTTTATGCTTTTTTATGAAAATAATAATTATACCTTATTTTAGACTTTTATCTATGTCTTACTCCTATTGTTGTCTGTTTATCTACCACCTTTAAAACAAATAAACAAAACTTCCATGAGGACAGAGAGACATGTACACAAATCACGTTAAAAGTTCCTAAGGGCCCAAGTACCATCTATGTTCATTTAATTTAATTATAATCCTAGAATCCCCAAATGCTAGACACTTTTGTAATTTTATGTATGAGATAGGTCTTTGTGCCTTGTGTTGTAATTAGTTGAAACATTCATCTCTGCTTTTTAGATTATAAATCTTTGAGGGCAGATTATTATGCCATTGATCTTTGCATACTTGTATTACAGCTTTTTTAAGTTGAAATAAAGTTAATTTCTTGAGCCAAGAGCAATCAGAAAAAATATTTTATATTATAGATTCATAGCATTTATGACTCCAGAAATATTTGCTCTATAATACTTGTAAGATAAAAAAACAGAGAATTCGCTTACAAATTTTGCTAGAAATCCTTAACAGTGTGTTACTGGGAATTTTACTTTCTCAAAATTTTAATGTTATTGTTAAATCGAGAATGATTAATAAGAATATTTTAATCAATAAAAACAACAATGAAATAAGGACTAGTTTATATTCTTCTAAATGCTCTTGCATTTCAGTGATTTAATTTTCTGCTTTATTTTTTTTCCACTCCAAGGACTACTGCTCCCTATGATGGTAGGATCCTACCTTGTATCTTCTTCTCTTGTTCAACTGATACTTCTCTCAAGAACGATTCATATCCTCCGTCTTGGGAAAGGACCAGAAGTGTTCCATAACCTGATGCTTCCTTTGATGCTGTCCCTCCCAGCATTACTGAACCTCAGTTTTCTCATCTTTCTGGTCATGTTTATTTATGCCATCTTTGGAATGTATAACTTTGCCTATGTTAAAAAGGAAGCTGGAATCAATGATGTGTCTAACTTTGAAACCTTTGGTAGTAGTATGCTCTGCATTTTTCAGGTTACCATATTTGCTGGTTGGGATGGGATGCTTAGTGCAATTTTTAACAGTAAAGCTGACTGTGATCCTGATAAAATCAACCCTGGGACCCAGATTAAAGGAGATTGTGGTAACCCCTATTTTGGGATTATTTATTTTGTCACTTACATCCTTATATCATGGATGATCATTGTGAATATGTACATTGTTGTTGTTATGGAGTTTTTCAATATTGTTTCTAAAAAAAAGGCCAAGAGCTTAAGTGAAGATGATTTCCGGAAGTTTTTTCAGGTGTGGAAAAGGTTTGATCCTGACAGGACCCAATACATAGATTCGAGTAAACTTTCAGATTTTGCCGCTGCTCTTGATCCTCCTCTTGTCATGGCAAAACCGAACAAGGGTCAACTCATTGCCATGGACCTCCCCATGGCAGTTGGGGACCGAATTCACTGTCTTGACATCTTACTCGCTTTAACAAAACGAGTTTTAGGTAAAGATGAAGGGATGGAGAAAGTTCTTTCAGAGATAGAAACTGGTTTTCTGTTAGCCAACCCTTTTAAGATCACGTATGAGCCAATTACCACAACTCTAAAACGAAAGCAAGAGGCAGTCTCAGCCACTATCATTCAACGAGCTTACAAAAGTTACCGCTTGAGGAGGCATGACAAAAATACATCAGATATTCACATGATAGATGATGATGATGGAGATGCAAAAGATGCTAAAGGAGATTCCCATTGTGAGAAAACTGCAGAAAATTCAATGATTCAAAGCCAAATATAATTTCATTATCACCAGTTCACCTTCCTCACAAAACGGTAAAGATTCAAATCATAAATATAAACACAAGTCAATTGTTTACAACCCATGGGAGTTTAGACTCCATGACAATCTATCAGGAAAGTACTTCCTTAGCATTGTAGCAGTGAGTTAAAGGAATTAAAGTTGCCATTTGACAATCCAGTGCACATTTTATTTCTGTGACTTAGATGACACTTGCCTCTTCTGGAGGGTAGAAAAAGGAATTATAGACATTAACAGCAGACAGTCTTGTACATTTTATATCTTCTTTGTCTTAATGAGTGTTGATAGGACTTAGTTACAAAAGGAAGTTCTTAATGTGGTATTATGTCTCAAAATGAATGAAATGCTCTGAGTCATGAAGTGGTAAATTTATCTAAAAAAAATAAATGTTTATAGAAAGGATCCTTAGAAGTTGCCTTTCAGGTCAAACATAGAGGCTTTGGGGCTAATTAAAGCCACATTTTAAAACGATTGGCTGAAGCCATTTTTGGCTCCTATTCTTACTTACCTGTTTGGGTTTTGTTTTTTAATTCTATTTTGTTCTTTATTCTTGACAATATAAATTGGTATTGTTCCACTCTTCTCTATGTCCTTTATTTCTTCTCTCTGGCCTGTCCTACCTAAGCTCCAGCTCTGCAATATCATGGATTATGAAACAAGTTCAGTATATGAAACCACAGTTGTTACCTACAATTTCTTTGGGGGTTTTGGTATATTTTTCATCTGTTCTTACATATTGACTAAAATGTAATAATAGAAAATGTATTAGCAAATGAAAGCTTTGTCTTATCATAAAACTGAGTATTATCATCATTTATTCAGAATGTAACGTTGACTATGTAAGATCTGACAGATGCATGTCATTTTATGAACTAGGGAAATCAGGAGCACAATTATGTCTAGGACTCTTCAAAATGTCTTGGTCCTGACTCATAAACTGTGGCCACTTTAAAGTACTTTTCCCTGTACTTGATGGTTCTTTATCACTTAGAGAAATAAGATGATAAGACTGAGATTTGTGAATTAGGAGCTAAAAATGTTACGTTTTTCACTATTGTTTTATAGCATTATGTGCAAGTTAGTTTTTATTTAATTATCTTCCTACATTTTTGTTTTATATTGTTATCATTACTTTTATCTCATGATAGACATAACAACTAGAAAATGTTTCATATTTTAAAAACTTTAAAACCTGAAACTTTAGATTTTACTATATAAATTTTTTAAAGATGCATATAAATGGTTTTTCTTTTGGATTATGTATGAAAATAGAGTCAATTTGAGATTTTGATGTTTATTTCCTCTGTAAGAAGATGTGCCTACAAAATCCCAAGGGATTAACTAAGAAACTATGTATTCCATTGACTTTACATATGTTATATAGCATTCAACATCATTTAAATAACAGTAATTGTATTTTATTATGAAAGCATGATCTTGAGCCTTAACTATTATAATCTTTTTCTGCACCTCAGAAATGTAATAATCTGACCAAGTTGCCTTTGGGGGAGTCCCTATAATATATCATTTCAGGGTCCTGTTTCTTTCTAGAAGTGTTCCTTCCAGGCTATCCTGCAGTTCTCCATCCAAGTGCTGAGAAAGAACCATGAGGAATCAGTGTTAACTTAGTATCCTGCTGACAGTCGGTGCTTTATCGAAGCTTCTCAGTTTGCTATTTTTTGAGAATGCTTTAATATGTAAACTACTTCAGATGCTTAAGTAAAATCATAAGTTGCTTTTTGAGGCTTCATAAAGACTACAAACTGATTTTAGTTTGGAAATTTTAGCTTTTACTTGTAAACTGTGCTTGCCAATAAACTTTCAAACACTGTGTAGAGAATTATTTTTAACAAACTCTTTCAATATATTCTACTTTTAAATACAATACAAAATAATAAATATTACCTGTTAACCATAGTTTTGTTTTGTTTTTGGTAAATTAAGTTGGCAGTTCTTAAAAGTAAATAATAAACTTTACACTGAAACATTTATTCCAGTCCAAAATTCAAAACAAAACACTTTCTTTAGATCACGTGTTTGGAAAATAAACATTACCAGATTAGCAGAACCTGCTTCATGTTAACAAAATGTAAAAAAAAAAAAATAAAAACAATCAAACAGACAAAAGATGTCTCTTTTATCAAGATTGGAAGTCTTTGTCATTACATGCTATGTGTCAGAAAGATAGAAGGAGAATTGATGCTTTTGAGCTGTGGTGCTGAAGAAGAGTACTGAATCCATGGACTGCCAGGAGAACAAACAGTTTTGTTCTAGAGAGGGTGAAACCAGGCTGCTCCTTGGAGGCAAAGATTCTGAGGCTTTGTTTGACATACTTTGAGCATGTTGCAAGAAGGGACCAACCCTTGGAGAGGGACATTATGCATTAAAGAGTAGCGGGACAGTGCAAGAGAGGAAGACCTTCGATGAGCTAGATTGACTCAGTGACTGGATAATGATGGTAGAAGTGTCAGAACAATAAGGTTGGCTCAGGATAGAACAGGTTTCAGCACGATTCTAGATAGGAACTCTATGAGTCACAAACAACTAGACGGCACTAAACAACAACAACAAATTATAATTTTACTAAATAACTCAATTTTAGTAGAATTTGTGATGATAATGCCTTCTATTTCTTTTTTCCATTTTTTTTTAATTTAGGTTGTTTATTTTTCATTTCAATGAACATCTACAGAGATTTTGGAATTCCATTCATTCATTGTTGC